GAGAAGTGAGAAGTGCAGGGATCAGCCTTGTCTTCCTATGCACGAGCTATGGGGCAGACGAAAATCGGCAACTATTTGTAAAGCACCTATCAAATGGTGTTAGAACTCCCGGCGCTAGCATCCACCAACGAAGACGAAAACATATGCAGGACTTCTCGACATCCCATTCAAAGCAACTATGATGCCGTAAGCCAGTAATTCATTACCAATCATCCAGAAAGCTACCAGTCCAATATGAGCTTCTTTCACGATCAGGACGGTGATAAAAGGCGACCAAACATCAGGTTTATAGGCTCTTGTTTCTTTTGTTCGTTAGACATCTTACTCCTTCTCTACAAACGTATAGCCGATTCACCAACTCACCACCAATTCCTTCGATTTCCATATACCCCACAATGGCCAGCTACGTCGTCACCGGTGTTTCCAAGGGTCTCGGGGTGAGTCTTCCAAATCATGTCCACAAAACGACGCGTGGTGATGGTGCACGGTCCATGGAAAGAAAGCCAAGTCTAATCCTCTGTGTCAACCGCCCAATAGTACGGTTTCCTTACCGTCCTGTCCCGGGATCCGAGCAGCACCGTCATCGGCATCGTTCGGAACAAACCCGCCACCCTTCAGAAGATCTCGGAGGATGCGGAGCTGAAGGATCGTTCCAACATTCACATCCTGGAAGGCGATATGACCGAGTACGCGACTCTCAAGGTAAGCCGTCGAATTTCTCGGGGTGTTGGTGTTGGTCAGCCATCACCAGCCCTCCACCCCCATCCTGGTGGTTCAAGGCTTCAAGTTCCTTGCTAACGATACGCTTGTCAATGGTCATTAGAAAGCCGCTGCCGAAGCCGCCGAGATCACCGGCGGAAAAGTGGACTACCTGATTGCCAACGCGGGTCTCGTGTCGCTGTTTGATGCCTACGATCCCATTGGAGCTCTGTATGATTTCCCGTGGCATAACTTGCACTGCGTTTATTTTTTTCCTTTTTTTTCTTTTTTTTTTTCTTTTCTTTTCTTCTTTTTTTGCCCTTGCCGGACGCGAGACTCACCGGAGACTAATCATGACAACAGGGGTGACCGGCCCGAGGAGGTCGACCAGACCTTGAAGACCTTGTACAACGTCAACGTCATCGGCAACGTCCACCTCTACCACCTCTTCATGCCCATGATCCTCAAGGGCAACGCCAAGAAGGTCGTGGTCATTTCCAGCGGCTTCGCCGACGCCGAGTTCACCAACAAGTACGACGTCGAGCCCGGCTCTCTCTACGCCTCCAGCAAGGCCGCCATGAACATGATCACCGCCAAGTTCAGCGCCCAGTACAAGAAGGACGGCGTTCTCTTCCTGAGCGTCTGCCCCGGTGTCGTGGACGTGGGCCACTACAAGGACGGTATGTTCATGTTTCCCCCTCCTTGTCGTACATTGGTACATGTAAACACTGGAACAGCGTCTCTGACATGCCTCGCTTCTCCCCATAGCCACCCCGGCGCAAATGCAAAACGTTGGCGCTCTGATGACCAAGTTCCTCGAGTACGCCCCTCACTTCAAGGGCCCAGATACCCCCGTGCAATCCGCCGAGGCGGTCAAGTCGGTCTGGGAGAATGCGACCTTCGAGAAGGAGGGCGGCGACTTCCTTTCTCACTTTGGCAACAAGCAGTGGCTGTAAGCTAGCGAAGCTCAGAATAGGAAGTTCGGGTGGGGGAGTAAGGAAACGTCAACATTCATAGATACTGGACTAGTATATAGCGAACATGCAGTTTTTTTCTTTCACAAAGAACGGTCTACCAGGCCCGTAACATACAGCAACGCCATAATTCAATATTCAGAGACATTCCCAAGGTAGATTTGGCTACATGTCTTCTGTACTCATCAATGTTCTCGACAGTCCTCAACTTCTACATATATATCCCTTGCGTTAGTTTTATGACGAGTACACTTGGTGAAGTACCATTTGCAGACCTTGGAGACCGTTGAAGCATCTTGGAATACTAATTAATACCACACGTTACAAGTGACAGTATGTGACAGCTAGTCAGTACTATGTCTCTGGGGATCCATGCCTCATTGTCGAAATCCGGCTACTAACATCCATCTAAGCTAAATACTGAAGACAGTACAAGTCTATCTACACACATACACCTTTGACTAACAAAATCGAGAAGCAGTAGAAATTGGTGTTTCAAAAGAAACATCAAACATTCAAAAGCAAGGGCAAGGGGACTTGATCCTGACCGTACGACTCTTGCAAGGCTCACGACGAGACCAAAGGCACGTAGAACCGGAAGCGATTGTTCGGGTCGTACTCAGCCTTCAGCCGAAGCAATTTCTCAAGACGCCATGGCTCACGTCCGTAAATACCCTCGAGAGTCTCGAAATCGTAGCCAGTGGCATAGTTGACATACGTCGCCGGCTCGCGACCAGGCTGACCAGACTGCCAGAGGGCCCAAGACTCCTTGGCCCACGTCCAGGCGGCCTCCGTCATCTCTTCGTCTGCTCCATCCGGAACCAGAGTCAAGAAGAGACTACAATAGTGTCAGTAAGGCAGATCCGTAAAAAAAGAACCCCCCCCCGAAAAAGAAAAAAAAGGGGGTGGGGACATACGCCAACAGTATTTCGTCGCGGTGGGGATAGGCGGTCGAGTCGTAATCAATCTCCCGAATCGCTTTTGTCGCATACCCTTGGTGATAAAGACGGGCAACGGTCGCGAGTTCGGGATATCGCGCAGCGGTCTCGTTGAAGTGGTTGTATAGTTCACGCTCCGTCGTCACATTGTAGGTCTGGAGGAGGACCGTGGCAAAGGCGAACTGGCCGGAACCACAAGAAGCCTCGCCGGTATCCTGAGGATCAACAATCTCGGGATAAGGGACGTCGCCCATTTCGTCCGAGATGGACTCGATCGCGTTGAAGGGGGCCAGGAATTCCTCGGCTTCGTCGGCCGGGCCATTGTAGGCGAAGGTCCACCAAAGGAGGGGCTGAAGGAAGAAAGTCAGATATCAAAGCCCTGAGGTCACATCACGAAAAGCCAGGGGGCGCGAAAATCAAAAGTACATACATCGTACTCGTTGAGATCTGGAAAGAAGGAGATTTGACCGTAGCTGGAGCCCATGAGGACGGGCCCGTTACCGTTGTCTAGAAGACCGTTCCACGCCTCAAATACGGCCTCGAGCTTGTCTTCCGTCCAGTAATAGTTGTGCCAGTGCCAAGTGGCTGACTGGGCTGGGTAAATCTTGAGTCGCATACTGGTCACAATGCCGAAATTGTGACCAGCACCTTGCATAGCCCAAAACAGCTCCTCGTGGCTCGTCTCGTTCACCCCGATTTCCGAGCCATCGGCCAAGACAACGTTCAAGTGAAGGATATTGTCGCTGATCAAGCCGTAAAGACCCTCGAAGCGTCCGTGACCGCCACCCAGGGCAGGCCCTGTGAGACCAACGCACTCATTCGATCCCGTAGCTGAAAAAAGAAGAAAAAAAAATTGGTTAACATCCGGGATCCAGAAGCGTGGCCCACTGGACGGCGATGTAGGATGATTACTCACTCGTAACGTAGCCTTGATCCCAGAGCGTCTTGATGACTTCCTTGGCATGCGATCCACCTTGAAACAAGGCTGACTTTCCATCCTCTGCGATGGTGAGGCCAGTCAGCTGTTTCATGTCGATCTGAACCCCCTTGAAGCTACCCAGGGACGCGGTGAAGCCATGTCCACGGTTGACGGCCAGGAAATCGATGCTGTTGTCGCTGCAGTACTCGACCTAAGCCATATATTGTCAGCTCTAGATTGCAAAGTCGTCGACGCACATTTGACAGGTACATGTAGATACTGACAATCTTGGAAATGTCCGACTCTTCTGCGGGCTGCACCACGACCTGGATTTCAGGCCTGGACAACATCTGCCATCTTTCGATGGTCTCATCCCACGCGGGGTTGGAGGGACCGAATATGAGGGAACCGTCGGACAAGTCGTCTGCCAGGTCCTGCTGGAGCTGCCGTAGTAAGAGTGCGTGGGGTGAACAGGGTTCCCTCCGGAAGTAACGAGGAACGCCCTGTGGCAGAGGGGAAGCTGCCACGAGAGCCTGAAGAAATGTGAGGCCGCAGAGCAGGCGGCGAAGAGGAGCACCCATTCTTGATGTTGTGTTGGGGACGACTCAGTCCAAAAAAAA